AAAACAAATGAAAGTTCATTGAACAGTGCTGAACAAAGATCATATCCTGTGTCACAATCTAAATTTTTGCGCACTCAAAAGTAGTATTATTCTAATTCATTTCACTGACTGTGCAATGGACAATCATGAAAGAAGTTTGACCTTTGACTGATTATTTTCAAAGTTTTGTGCATGCTCAATATGGGTGATGTACCCAGTGTATACAGTATAGCCTACATTATCAGGATAACCCGCCGGTTATCAACCTTCCCGTTAAGTAACCAACAACCACCGCATCTTCAGCTTATCCATACACTGGGCTGCTTAACTTATGGGAGAGAAAGTCGCTGGGGAGCAACTTCTGGTCGTGTTTATCCACGGGTCTGTCGCGCTTCTGCCCCCTTCTTTCGAGACCCGATGGACTCACTGCACCAATGGGTCATGACCACGACATTAGCTTCAAGGGGACTGACGAAACATTCGGCGCGTTTCCAGAGAGATTACAACACCTACTGGCCCAAACCACAGAGGGTATCGACGTAGAGTGTATCGTGTTCCCTGCGTACGAGGTCTGTCATTCCTGAGGGGGCAGCTATGCGAGCTAGTCCCAGTTTTTGATGCGAAGCTATCCAAGGATAGACGAAAGGGGATCTGGTGCGTCATTTCGCATCCCGTAGAAGGTCTCTGAGGCTGATGTCACCCTACATATGACTAGGATGCCGCCGTCGAGCGCTTCGCAGACTGGCTCGCGCAGCTGACTGTAGAGAAAGAGGTCGCAAAAGGTCTGGGAGGTGGTGCTGGGAAATCCAAGGTAGTGTTATGCGGGCACAGGCGAGTTACTTTTCAGTGTCGAGGGTCAAGAGCATGGGGCTGAAGCCCTGTTGATGACTCAGTATGGGTGGCCTGCTTGCGGCCGACACGCTCCTAGCCCTGTATGAATCCCGTCCAGACAAGGAGGCACCTTTATGGCCGAACATTATTGCGTGTATAGCTTTCGATACTCCAGTGAGTCTGGTGTCCTGGGTGTCTCCTTATTCCTGACGACAGCATGGTCTGTAAGTATTTCGGCGTACACCCATCTGTGTTCAAGAACAGCGCTAGTAAAGTAGTTAAGCACATCTCCACAGCACGGACCGTCGTTTCAGACGTCGCCGATGCGTTCAGCTATTTCACCGGTAAGAAGGGCGCGGAATCGGCGGCCGCATCAATGGCATCTTCCAGTACAACCATCCAGACCCCGCTACTTACCGGGCCCGAAGCATCGATTTCCGCAGGATGGCAGAAATGGGCCCTTCCGGCAGCCTACGCTATCAGTGGAATTGCTGTTGCTGGGGCAGCTGCTGGTACCGCTTATTGGAGGCGTGAAGACCTTGGATTAGGATACGGATGGGTTCAAGACCACCTGAGATATGTAGGGGCGCTATGGGATGAGAAGCGCTTACTGAGGAGAGTGGAGAAGGTTATGGACATTGAGAAGGATATAGGCGTCCTCTTCAGAACGTGAGCGCCCAATGATTTCCTTTCCATACTAAATCTAAGATCAATCTAGGTACTACACACTCCTCCCTGCGGCGTTGCCCGGGCATGTAAATCCCCGGACCTTCATATACTTACCCAAGTCATACGAATCTTCGGATAATTTCCGTCCAGCGACTAACAGCGTAGCCCAGGAGGAAATTGAGGCACATACGGGGATGTTTGGAGCCAGTACCAACGATGGCTATTACGGGTTAGGTTTGGATACAGCGCGGGTTATCAGAGATGCTCTGGAGAGAGCAAGACACGGGTCGGCGATGGATTCAAATTCTACATCAGAGAAAGTGGAAGCCGATAATTTCGATGAAGTCCAGGAGAGCACACTGACTACTGTTGAGGAATTCATGCCTACCAACGAAGGGAAGCGGAGCGAGAGCACAGCTGCTGAAGAGATTGAAGATACCCCATGGAGATAGCAAGGATGGAGCCGATCTATCCCTGAGCCCTTTTATTGCTTTGTATTGTTATTGTATATTTTATCTTACAACAGATGTATGTAGAGGGCTCGACGACAGACTCGGATTTGGACCGTCTCAGTTTTTGAGAGATAGCCGCATGGCGTATGCATCTTCACCGTCGGCATCTGTTCAAGCCATGGTTTGACGGAATGGACTGAGACAGTGCTGGTCTCACTCACAGTATTTCTTCTCCACGTCCGAGACCTCAAATCCTAGAGAATCCTTATACAGGCCGAGAGCGGCTCGGTTAGACTTCCGGACGTGCAAAGATACATAAGAAGCCCTGTAGATCGTGGCCATAGCCTCCTCTATATCGACGCATGTCACAACCTGAGCGCGTCGGGCTATGGTCTGGAGGAGACGTACGTGATTGAACCATGAGCTTCTTCGCTAGGCCCAGCCTACGGTAAGACCTGAGCACCGAGATCGACGTGACATGCCCATGAGGTTCATCATCTTCTCCCACATCCTCCTCCCTACCGTTATTCGATCGATGAGCGCAAGCGCTAATGCGACAGGAGACGAACCACGTACATCTTGGCAAGGATATACCCGACTATTCTACCGCCCTCCTCCGCGACATAGGACAGGGATGGCCAGGTTAGCAAATGATATAGGTCTAAAAATGCATGCGTTATATGGCGGGGATGCGTTGTGCCGTGATCGAAACGCACAGTACTTCATGGTGTAGTTTTCGGGCAGGTTCTGCAGGTTACATGCCTGCATTCCGATTGCATCGTCTACCTAGCTCGGATTAGAGAGTCCCCGGTGTACGTCTGTCTGACTCACTGTTGCAAGCCGAAGATTCATGTCCAGAACAATACCTGGGTCGTTGCAAAGGGCGTCTGGCAGCACGCAGGCGCGGTTGTTTGACCTTGAATATAATATCTTCCACGGCCGAATATGGGTATATCGTGACGTTATGATAAGCGAGTCGCTGTGCAGACCCTAACCCGAGGGACACCAAGCTCTGCTTGCTCTTTGCCATGGACGCCGCACCAGGCATCCAGGAACCATTCGATCTCATCCGCCTCTCCCTCAGCGAGCGCGTCTTCGTCAAGCTCAGAGGGGACAGAGAACTCACGGGTGTTCTTCATGTACGTTCTGACCCATTCGAGCGCTTCATGCTATCTGACACCAATGCATGTCCTATGGTTAGGCTTACGATGGCCATATGAACCTCATCTTATCAGACGTCGAGGAGACGATCTTGATTGTCGATGCACCTGAAGGCGGTAAGGCAAATGGAACTGTAAACGTCGCTAAGCGAAAGATGGACATGTTGTTCGTGCGTGGCGACGGTGTTATCCTTGTGAGTACCCGCTGAGGTCAATTTCTCCTTGGGATCAGTAGCGTCCCCGGAGAAAAGACTTGGACTGCCTTGCATGAAAGAACTGAGGCAATACCTTGTAGGTTGCTCCTCCTTCCCGAACATAGGCTTTCCCCAAGTCCTTCCTATTCCTTGCCTTCGCAGGGGGGTTGTAGGCTGCATCAAAACACAGCGCCAATATATTTTTCGGCGACATTAACCTGTACCCGCATTGGTCTAAGATACCTTGTATCATCATATCTCGTTCTTGACTAGCAGTCCCGATCAGTCGAGGATCTTGATTATGCCACACGAATCACGCATGTGGGTGATACATGACGATCTAGGCTCATGGCTTCTACTCAGATCCAGCAGCGGCCCCATCCTCGGACTCAGCAATCACCTCCGCACTCCGCTTTTGCTTTCTTTTGTGCGGGTGAGGCGAGGGCGGCATATCCGCTTTCTTCACCGTCAGGATATCCATGATCTCTGCATTGAAAGGAACAATGCCTGTGAGCACCGACTGTCAACCGGGCTGAGAAAGACAGTACAAACCTTGATGCGTCATGTCTTCCCACCCTCTAACACTCTTCTTCAGCGTCATCCACCGACGCTGCAGAATGTGAGCGCTCCAGAGGTTCCAGCTCTCATCGGGCAGCACCTTCCAGTCTATCTCAGTATCATCGCGCACATTGAGCGAAGCGATTCTAGACATGGCCCATGAGTCCTCTAACGCCACAGAAGAGAAACAAAGGCCTACTTGTGGACGAGTATATGCGCATCCCTTTGACTCCATCTGGGTTTCTGACCTCCACTCTTGTAAGTCTTACTAAGGGAATCCGTCCTGAACACGTAGACGGGCGTTACTACGTGAGGCACATGACATAACATGAGAAATTGACGAGGAAATCACCATTTGATACGACACTGCTGCCTTCCTCTCCGATCGCCCATTCTCTTGGCCACGACGCCCCAGAAGACGTCATTATCCATGTCCTTGCCCTGTTCGACAGTCATCTCCGTGACGATCCTGGTAAGCTCCTCCTCCTCCTCCTTGGTCCAGTGGCCTTTTATATTACAATTCAAAGAAAAATCCTTTTCCACGACACCAAGTAACTGACCGATAGCTCGCTTGTCTCTGTCAGCAAGATGGTTCCGATACCGATCTCTGCAGTCCGCGGCCATACGTCCAACGCGCTGACTTACTTTCTCCCATTGTTGACCAAGATCGGACACAGCCCTGCAAAGAGTTTGAGCGGTCTAAGCCGCCTGATGTAAGCTGCAGATGCGTACTGTATGAGGCTTTCATCTTCTGACGGCATCCATTTACCCCTGGCTTTCAAGGGGTGGTGTGTACGCCGGACGTGATGATAGACCGCAACGATAGGACGCTGGGGCACAGCCGCGGCTGCAAGGGGTGGGGTAATCAGTCGGCTTCGGGAGCCTTGACATGAGAACGTGACGCACTGATTTCAGACCAGAAATTTTGATCTCTCTTATCGTTCTTAGAGAATATCATTTCGTGGATCTGTTCATAAGACAGCTCGTTTTTCTGATCGACGAGGAGAAGTTAATTCAACCCAAATGACCGCCATGAATGAAGTTACCGTTCGATAGTGCTCGATGGCGTTCTTCAGCTGCTCCTCCTCGATGGCGGAAAACTTGCCCTTTTTATAGACCAATCCTGAACCCACAGTCAGTCTGCGACATCCTGGTATGGATTGTGATACAGACCCTGTGTTTCCGCAAGCTCAGCAAGCTTCGTCGTATTCAACCACTTTGTCGCCAACAGATTCGCATGTGCCGCATTGGGTGGGGTATCCGGAACCAGCATGGCATTATCAATCTTTTTTTGCGCTTTTCTTGTGTCATCTGCTGTCTTCCTCTGTGTTCTGCCTAGGATAACATCCGATGTGGCGGGCCTTTTGCCAAGAGCGCTGGACGCTGATGTAGGCGGAGGAGGAGGGGGTAATGGAGGGACGAATGCCGACGGACCTGGCATACCTTGCATCCCAAGGCTACTGGAAGCCGCTGCTGCGTCATTGAGGGTCTTGAGGACGTTGGCGATCTTGGACAGGTCCAGATCTTGCAGGGTACGCAGAATGTCCTCCGCTGAACCACCCAACGCTAGCTCCGGGGGCAAGGGTATCCCCATCCCGGGTACGGGAGGAAAAAAACCGGAAGGGGAAGGATGCTGTCCGTGGAACTGCGTATCTTGCGGATTAGCAGGGTAAGGAGGGAAAGGCGGCGGAGGGTAGGGCATGAACTGGGAAGGGTGCCCGGCATACGCAGGATAGATAGGCGGGTATCCATATTGCGGAGGCAAGGCTTGCGCCGGGTCCACGAAGGGCTCAGCGGGCGCAACCTGCTTGCCCTTATCCTTCTTCGACTTTTTCTGAGGCCGCTCAGTGGACGACCCGCTCTCCCTAGTTGCTGCAGCATCCATAACTGGCGGCTGCTCCGGGAGAGCAGAAGAGGGAGTATTTCCATTGTCTCGCTCCTCGACGGCATGGTGCCTCTTCTTCTTCCGTTTCTTCTCCTTGTCATTTACTTGCTGTGGCTCGCCGACCGCCTCGTCGCGCTGACGCTTCTTCTTCTTTTTCTTCGTTTTATCCACATCGCCGGACATAGGGACAGAGAAAACGCTGTTGACTTCGCCGACGGCATGCTGGAGAGCGCGTTCCACATCGGTAGCTAGAGGCTCGGACATTGGTTTAGGGCTGGTCGAGTCGCGGTGAATCGAGTGAAGGGCAGCTTAGGGCAAGCAAATTGGCGTCACGCTAATCTTAGATCGGCAAACCCCGCAACGCGTTGGTGGCTTGCCATGGCCAGTAACCAATTCCTGTTTGCCCGAGCTTCCCGTTCGTGTGCCTCTGATATTCCTTACCAAGAAAAGAACTTCTGGGAAAGGGGTCATCTACTTCTGCTGGCTGCTGTATAGAGAACCTCTCCGTACCTTTCGGTCGCGTGCTTGGGTCGAACGTCTACTCTTAGGAGAAGTGGACGCTCCGAGCTCCTAAGCTTCACCGATTCGAGTCCACTTTCGAAACTGTACCCTGGCGGTCTCACTAATGTTATGCTGCTGACTAGCTAACTGTCTACGATGTGAGATACATTTGTTGTGCTCCGAGCCTTCGTACACTGCAAGTCCCAGTGATCGTCTTCGTTGATCTCCAAATTCACTCCTTGACATGCGCGGCACGGCAGCATTAGGAAGCTACACCCTGGGGACGGCAGCGCTCGATATTGCTTCCTCTCACCCAATAGTCTGTGCTTCGCCCACACACAAGCTGCATCAGTCTCTTTAGCTATGAGTCAGGTGAGCAATTACATGATCCGTTATGGATGTAGAGGGGCCTGTACGCGCAGGAGGTATTCTGGATGACCTAGCCACTACCGGTTTCGGACGATAACCCGTAGAAACTGATAACCGGGTCCACGGGCAGGAATGGTGATTGCCCGGATTATGTACTGTGCCCGCCTTACGAAGGCTTATAAGTCGTGATCAAGCATAGCGTTCTCTGTGCCCCAACGTAGCAATGACCTACTTTGCGTTCAGGCATCAACCTTTCAAAGCGTTATATGTGGTTTATACAGCGATAACCGTCCCTCTTATTCGTGCTCCTTATTGGTGCATATCATCTCTGATTCCGTACTTCAGACCAAGACGTACTTGGTCCTTCTCCCGCTCGATATTACTGTGCTGGCTTAAGACTTCCTACAACTTCTCCTTTGCTGTCGGCTTTCTACCATTCCGATCTCCACGGCAACGGCAATCACTTAATGTCCACCTAGGAGAAGTGTGGGTGGACGAAGTGCCGAAGGACCTGATACGGGGGAAGGTGGCAGAGGCGGCGATGATCAATCAGGTTTCTCCAGAGCCCATCTCTGGGTACTGGTTCTCGAAAACCGGCGACGCGACGGACGTCGGACGACGAGCATTACCTGACGAGAAGGTGCTCTATTACTTCCACGGTATTTTCTCGAGCTCGCTCTTCTCCAAGTTCGTCACTGACCAAAGAAATATCTTAGGTGGCGGATATATTGTAAGCTTGAAACTTGTTTGCCGTGAACCTTCCCCTGATTCCCACCTAGTCTGGATCTGTGTCTCCTAACTCGTTGTATTCGGAAGCACCGAAGGGGATGCTTGAGCAGTCCTTCCCATCCAACGCGCGCGCCTTTGGACTTGAATACCGTCTTACCAGAGCAGCTCCATTTGATCCTTACGCGCCATTCCCTGCTGCCCTCCTCGATGCGCTCTCTGGCTATTACTACCTGGTAACAACTTTGGGATTCGCTCCGAAAAACGTCATCGTCAGTGGTGACTCGGCAGGGGGGCACTTGGCGGTATCCCTTGTCCGCTACCTCTGCCTAGAAGACCTTACGGAACTCCCTCCTCCTGGAGGGCTCATCCCTCTGCATCCAACAGTGGATTGGGCGCTGACGGACGCCCACATTACCTCGTCATCTATGGAACGCAATTACCATACCGACTACGTTGATCCCTTTGCGAGATCCGGATATACAAAGCGCGGTCTGCTTGGCTCATTGCCGGAAGAATTCGCGTATACCAGCCTGTGGATATCGCCTGCTTCACTTCGAATTCAAGAGACCGGGTTGTTTCCGAACTTCCCCCCGACGCTGATCATTGCTGGCGGCGCTGAACAGACGCTGGATGCGATGCGCGTATTGCACACTCGCCTAGTGGAGGATAACGGCACAGAGATTATTACTTACATCGAGTACCCGGATGCCATACATGATTTCATGTGTTTCGCCTCACACGAGCCCGAGAGGTCAAAAGCACTGGATCATGATATTCGTACATGGGTACACCTCGTATACAATTGCAACACACAGTAAACAATGAATTATGTGGGCTAACCGTATCATTGCAATAACTTTTGAACCAGATTACCATCTTCCCTGAAGATTCCCTGTGAAAACGTCCAAGCAGGATGAATGGAACCCCTCGGCATTCACCAATCATGAAGGAGAGCCATCCGTGGATTCAACGTAATACTGCTGATACCAGTGGCATCATGTATCTCGTGCGATCCTTTTAGACACAATCTTCAGGTTGTTGTGAGCCCCACGTGCGTTCGCCCGAGTCGCGGTCCGAGATGTCGGTGCCAGCCTTCAGATACAGCTGTGGACTAGGCCGACTCTTGTCACTGGTCATGTAACTAGTTGAAACAAGTCAGGGAAATACGTGGTGGAAATGTTTGGAGGACATACTCTGTGACTGTCTCCATTTCTATAGTTACAGGTAGAGTATCACCCGGGGTCATTTTACTGGCTTTGGCAAACCGAGAGCTACCCGCGGATCGACTCATGAAGTCCGTCCGAATGCTGTAGTGCTCATCGTCAGGGAATACCTATGGCGCTGTTCATACAAGTGGACGTACAGAGCCTTTGGAACCATATATTCGGATAGATCCTTGTACATCCGAGTCGCACAGATGGTCCTATACGGAGTCCTCTGATCAGTATATGAGTTTTAAGAAGTCGAACAATTGACGCACATCACGACTACTGTTTGATAGAGTATTGGTAAGATCCCAGTAAACTGAGGACGTAAACTCGAAAACATACCTGCGAAAGGCTCAAACATCTTCGTGACATCAGGTCTCAGAAGCTGCAGTTTGAGAAATGAAAGATCATCCTCACATAATCCATAACATCTGGGTTTACATATCAGCCAGATGGAGATAGCAGCTGAGTTTAAACCAACCATTCAAATTAATCAGGAGAAAGATCTGGGTAAAACGCCGGTGAGCGCAATAATATCAGTATAAGTAGGCGTGTATCGTACGGCGGGAAGTAGGTATCCAACTGTTGAAGCAAACATCCATATGAGACCCTAATTTATCAGTTAGACATGGCGACAGTAAAGCCGTGGACACCAATACCTGTCTGAAGAGGAGCCTCCATAATCGACTGACACCTTCCTTGCGCAAGAGCCCCACGACACTAACCACGAATAAGATCAGATCGCTACAGAAACTGACCCAGACATTGATCCTGGCAGTAGCGGCATTCACTATTGAGCATGACTGCAATTCGGGGACCCAGACTGCGTCGGCCTTCTCCGATTTATCAGCGTAATGAGAGATCCCTTCTTGCTAATAAACGTACGACATAAATACCTGAAGAATAAGACATGAAGCACGACCAAAGGATATGTATTACACAGCATACCGTGCAGCAATGTACCCCAGTTGGCTAGTAGGATTGCGACAAGCGGGAAAACAACCCATTTGGCACCACCATTGATTGCGATTCTGAAGCAAATATTGTGAGACTTGACCGATGGAGCGACGTGACATCGAGCCTTACGTTCTCAACATGAGCAGAACAGACGTAAGACCTATGGCAACGTGGGCCAGAGCCTGTACAATGGAGCTTGAAGGCGCATAGTTATTCAGTGACGGCTCCTACTCACGGTAATGGCTTTCGTCGCCGCCTGTGCAGGATGTCACTGCACCGAACACTGCCGTATAAATACGACGCACCGAGCAGTTCAGTTCCGTTTTAACATTGAAGACCGTTAGAAACAAGGCGATGTCGATGAGTGTCAACCACCGACAGGCAACATATATCTTGGCAACAGAGGTTTTTCATCGCCGAACGTGGGTTCAAAAGACATCATCTACTGACCAGCATAGACCATTTGAATCTTTGCTTGCCGATGTAGACCGACCATTCGTAGGGAAGCGTCACGATGAATTCCCACCTGTTAGGGTGTGTTCAGACAGGGTGACAAATTGTCACCAGCGACGCATACAAGTATAGACCACCAAGGATGTGGACGAAGCGAATGAGTATCTCTGGAGGGATTGATTCGTGATAGAACAAAGCTAGGAAGTATGGAGTACACGTACCGGCCTCATAAGCAATGACAACAGGGTTCTTCCAATCGACCATCTTGCGGGAGGAGGGAACACGGCGTAGGAAAAACCTCGTTTCCAGAAGCCAGGCAGGCCCGGGTGTCTTTTGTAAGGCCCCGGATTCTATTCTGAATATAAGTAGGAAGCGTTCCATAAATGATACCTCGGAGTGTATACCTGGTGGAATCAACAGGTCTGGCCAACCTGTCAGGTCCTCCTACCTGGGCATAGGTAGCATCAGAATTATTTCATGAGAATTGATGGACTGTGTGACGCGCTATCTTAACATATATCTACCTTTAGTTGCAAGAGTTAGAACAAGTAGTGTGCGATCATCCTGGACGCTTCAGTCAGTGGGAGCAACAATCATCTCTTCGGTGTAATGAATTTTGGCTGCCGACGATATCAGAGACTTTTGTACATGTGCATAGTAAGGCGGCCCTGCCAATTTTGCATTAAGTTGGTGCTCATCCTCAGAGTTTCACATCATACCCAAGTAATACCACAAGATTTGCATGAATAATTGTCTGGCAGCGCGAGTCCGTGACCGAGTATCCGACAACTTGATTCCGACAATTGGGTGCTTCCTATCGGAATGCGACTGATTGTACTCCGTCGTCCCCGGCACCGAGTCGGATACCGCGGCGTCCTGGGCTTCCTAACTGAGTCTGACCAGTGTTCGGTGAGTAAATCAAACGGACATGTCAGTCGTCTCATCACGTTTCAGTCTCAAAGACCCTTCGCCCCGCCGAACAACTGTCGCGGCTCACAGCTGGTGTGGGTCGTCAAGAAAGAGGCCAGTCGCGTCATGCACGTGCGAGGGGCGTGAGATGGGAGAGGCCGCGGGTGCCCGCAGATTGCCCGCGGATCTCTCATTCTCTGTCGAATTATTTGTGTCTACAGGTTGACGGATGCTCATGGAAGTTGCAGCATGATCTTCAAGTGATCTTCACGACAATACCATGTTGGAATACGCTCGCAAATGGACTGCATGTGTAACACTGATTTCTACCTAAGGCACTTGAACATTTCGACGAGCGTCGTCTCCAAATCGTCTCACCAATCTTCCAATCTGGTCTTAAGGGTAGCTATGCGAGGATGTCACCTACGCTTTACTTTGGACAATTATTGGTCCACAGGGCGTTGTGGCAACTTGAACGCGACTTGGGCAGATCGCTTTCGTTAATAGAGCCCAGACTTGTATTATTACAACTTCATGATCCGCTGGGAAGGAGGTTAAACTGTCTCACCATGCCCAGGGCATAATGTGCCGAGAGCGGTCTGACACGACGCTATATATACATGGAACGCGGGTGATTAATGGTATGTGTCCGTCTTGCTGCCTCACTCATTGAATTGGGGTCGTGAATACAGGCACAGAGCCTACAGAAGTTTATTAACCGCCCCTCGTTCACTGGGATCTGTACTGCCTCATGTAGAACATTGGTAAGTTTGTGATATGGCAGGTCAACACTCTCGGATGTCTGTTCCCAGCCGGTGTAGGTCCCATCAGCAGGCCTCAGGCCTCAGGGCCCGCATGCCGGTGACTCCGTCCTTCATCGCGGATCTTCCACAATTGATTGTTTCCCTCAAGGTTCTTGTAAAACTGTCTCTCTTCTTTGCCTGAACTGCTCGCTGTCTCCCGTTTCAGGAGCTGAATCCCGTCCACGATGGGCCACTTTCAATCCAGATTCTTGTCAGAGGCATCACGAGTAGGATCCAACGAGATAGACGAAACGAAATGGCCGACATATGATTATATCATCGTTGGTGGAGGTCAGCGAAACTACGACTATCCGTCATTCATCAAGCTAATATGTGTCCTTCAACAGGTACTGCTGGGTGTGTGCTGGCATCCAGATTGAGCGAAGATTCGGAAGTCACCGTCTTGCTGATTGAAGCGGGGAAAAAGTAAGCAGTGGGAAGACTCTCAGAAGGTGAGAGTGCACTGACTTCACGTCCTTATCGAAAGCAACCAGAATGTGCTCGAGAGTCGTATGCCACTGGCATTTCCGAAACTCTTCTTCACCCAGTATGATTGGAATTATGAGACGGTGTAAGCGGAATACATCTAGCTAGTACACTCTCTGACAATTACATACAGACCCCAGGCAGCTCTCAACGGACGAAGGGTGCATTGGCCCAGAGGGAAACTTTTAGGCGGTACAAGGTGAGATTATGCATGATAGTATGGCATTACTCTGACTGTGGTCAAGTTCGATCAATGCTTGTCTACACCATCACTCTGCGCCCGAAGGTCAGGCTCTCCGAACACTCGTTGGCTCTTTTACCGTGCTCAAGTCATCACAGACTACGCGAATTGGGTCAAGCTTGGGGCAACAGGGTGGGCATATGAGGACCTTCTGCCGTAGGTCATTCAATATCTTTTGGAATGAATAGGGATTAACGAGTCTCTTAAGGTACTTTCGTAAAGCTGAAAAATACACTGCGAGCGCTGCACACCCTGACGTAGATGCGTCCCTGCATGGCAATGCCGGACCATGGCAGACGCGACATTGTGACTTACCTGCAAGTGTCCCTCTCCGCACCGTGTCTTTTTCCTCATCCACCGCAACAGCCTGTCTGTCAAGCGATAGTCGAGAGTTGCGATAACATAGGGATACCATACAAATCGTTCGTAGTTCTTGGTATCCTATTCTACAGTACTGAACACCTCCATTATCCAGAGATTTCAACACGATTTCTGGAACCATAGGCTCCGCCAACTTCATAGAATTTGTTAATCAGAAAGGAGAAAGTAAGGTTTAAGCAGTCCCGCGAATACATCGTCATTCAATTTTTTGATCAGGGAGTTCGACGGCAACTGCTTACCTCAATCCAACCGTTCTGGCTCGGCCAAATCTCACTGTTTTGGTCGAGACGGCAACGGAAAAGATCATGTTCAACAGCAGTGCAGGTAATCCACGGGCGACAGGTGTACAGATTTCTAAATCCTCGGAGTTGCCTAGTTTCTACGTTGCAGCGACCAAGGAAGTCATACTCTGCGCAGGTGTGGTCGCCACACCCCAGATACTGATGATATCTGGTATTGGTCCGAAGGCGGAGCTTGAGCGCTTTGATATAAGACCTGTGGCCATCCTCGAAGATGTTGGGAAACATCTATCGGATGTACGTGCGATTTCAGACAAAAGTTTTCACGATCAATCACAATTTTTTATTAGCATCTCTCACCCGGTCCTATGGTTTTCCCCTGCAGACCAGGATACAGTATGGACTATCTTTCTAAGCCGGTCGGGGCGGCCGTAGCAGCTGCCAAGTGGTTACTTACCGGCAAAGGCCCCATGTCACACTCGGTTGTGCCGGGAGCAGCCTTCTTCCGTTCTGACAACTTAGAGTACGACAGAACGCTATATTGTCGCCTACAATATTAACGACAGCACATACAGGTTGCCCTTTGGTCCCGCACGCAAATACCCCGTGGAAGATCTTACTACTGGCGCTGGTGCACCCGACGGCGAACTCACGTGGTTCCCCTTAGTAGCACACCCGTCGGGAATGGGAAGGATGCCCAAAGGTACCCAAGGCATAACCTTGGTGAGTGGATATTTTCCATTCTTGCCAGTCTCTGACACAGTCATAGGGTGGGATTGTGCTCCAGCCGAAGTCGAAGGGTACCATCACGTTGAATTCAGGTTCTGTCTGGGAAAAGCCTGCCATTGACGGCAAGTAAGCACAAGCGGTACTTACGGGTCCAAGCAAACCTTGACATTGGATGCGCTGGCAGTTACTTGCAAGACGAGAGCGACATCAACTTCCTCATTCGCATGGTCCACCTTCAGCGGGCCTTAGCCCATACGCCGCCCTTCAGCGAAGTCCTGGACGTGAAAGAGAATGTTACAGATACGAACAGTATATTTTGGCCGGCTGATGCTCCCGCAGACATGGTGAGGATCTTGTTATCTCAATGACGACGATATCTTCTGAACCGACAATGGATGTGTTAGCTTACCGATGACGTTCTGCGAAAGTGGCTTCGTGTCAACGCGACATCGGCGTGGCATCCGGTATGTCTCGACGCTATTAATGCCCGTCGTTTCATTCATACCATCCGTGGCGCTAGGTTGGCTCAGCTCGAATGGGCCCTTCTCCAGCAGATAGCGTCGTCGATCTCGAGTTGCGTGTCCATGGCGTGGATGGGCTGAGAGTATGCGACGCATCAGTGTTCCCGACGCAGCTCTCCGGCCACCCATGCGCTCCGGTGGTAGCCTTCGCAGAAAGACTGGCGGATTTCATCAAGAGGGGTCGCAAGCATATTTAGATCTGCTTTAGTCGCGCCTGGATCACGATTCTGTCTATACCCTAAAGGTGTATTGGCGTTGGTTTTACCTCTACTAATACTCTATATCACGTGGGCAAACGAAAGCCAGAAACTGTCAGCCTGTTACTAGTCCGAGGAGGATGTGTTCGGCACCAAGGCCCACCACTGTCAAAGGTACGAACGCCCGGATATAGAGCAGCGTCGTTTGGTCTGCCACAGGAGCAGATGCACGTTCCGCGAAGCAAATGCGGAATGCAGAGCTTGGCTAGGATCAGATGAGTACATAACTAGCCATTGCGTGCGACGTACACATCAGTAAATCGGACCATACCGCGTTCTGTGATGCTTGTTGTCCTGTCCTTATTGGCCTGGAGCTCAGGTGGACGGCTCGAGCACATGGATGATGTATCCAAACCGATGTCACGTACTGTTTGCCGCGCGATTAGCTAGAGCGCGCGCTGCAGCATGCAGACGGTCCTCCATGCTAGTCTTCATCATCGTCAAACCACCGTTCTTCGGACTCCCGTTCTTCGTCATACTGATCGTCCCAGTCTACCTTGTCATATAGATCTGTCTACAGACGAACTAAGTCCCTGACACACGACGAACCATCCAGAAACATGGGACTTGCCTCCAACATTCCATAGATGAATAACTCTTTGACTCGTCTGTCGAAAGTCGCCTTTGCTTCTTCTTCAGTTTCTTCTTCAGGCAAACCGCGAAAAGCTCCTGAGTCTACCTCATCACTGTCCTCTTCCTCCTCTTCCTCTTCCTCCCCCTCCTCTTGCACCGTCATTGCGTACTCCCTCCTGGTGGCTCTCACTCTCTCCGACTCCCTTTCCTCCTCATACTCGGCCAAGAGCTTGCCTAACTTGCCCACCTCCTGCTTCCGTCCACCGAGGAACTCTTTCTCTGCCCATTCCTTCTCCTCTTTCCCCTCATCTTGGCCGCTCCTCCCTCCCCGACCCCAGAGCATTGGCCATTGCTTCTTGGCATTAGCAAATCTCAATTCGGGCGGTGACGATTGACTGTACTTTGTCCTTCGGTTTCGAATTGTTGTAATAGCCGTGCGCTGTTTGGGACTAATGATCGACGAGAACCGACGAGCGAGATCAGGGGGCAACTCGCGGATGTGATGATTGAGGAACAAGACGGGTTCTTTCGTCGGCGACGGCTCATATTCGGACTGAAGGCCAAGATAAGGTAGAAATAGAGAGTCTAGAGAAATAGGGTTGTCTGTCATTGTTTTCCGGTACTTTAGGTGGCTGTCTTGCAAGTCGGTCGGAGAAAGCCGCGTCTTTGACCTACACTCGCGATCGGGTTCCGACGTGTGCCGCGAGTGGCGGTAAGTTGTGCGACGAGGTCCAATAACTCTGTTGCACCAGTTGTTTCGGGGACAGCCAGCTGTCGTAACTCGAATTGTGAGTGCGAAACAACATCTCGCCGAGGGTAGTAGGATGGCCACCCTGTCCGGGTCCTCTTCATCCAAGAAGCGTACTCGAGAAGAGGTAGAGGTTAACACTTCTCAGACAACCCAGAGTGATGACTTTCAGCCAGAACGGAAAGTAACGAAAGGTAGTGCTCTGCCACGATCGTCTGGACCGCGCTTATGTTTCAATGAAATAGCTGTATATTCAATCTTCACGAAGCCTCAAACGAAGAGTACGGAAAACCCTTCGTCCAACTTCCGTTGGCAATCGCCTCTTGGGTCGAAGCGCACGTGTTTACATGGAATGAACCTTAATCCACCGAGCTTAGCCAAGGTAGCCGCATTCGACTTGGACGGGACGATTATCAAGTCCAGTTTTGGCAAAGGCAAAGCCACCAAAAAGGCTGGACCAACTTATGAATGGTGGCGGCCCTTGGTGCCGAAACGACTGAGAGAAGTGAGCAACCAAGGGTTAGTGCTTGTACTGCTGTCTGCGGTAGTCACTAATACCTCTCCTTGCCCTTCAGCTTTGCGATCATCATTATTTCTAATCAGAATCTCAAGTCTGTTCAGTTGGCGGAGTGGAAAAAGAAGATCCCACTCATCGCTGCTGCTGTACGTCCGTCCCCCAGAGGGTTTGAACATTTCACCTTGACATTGTGCCTCAGCTTCCTGATGTACCCTTCCATTTATTCGCCGCGACCGCGAAGGATGGTTACCGCAAACCTATGCCTGGCATGTGGTATGAGCTTGAAAAGATCTTCGATGCCGATGGCGTCAAGATTGGTGCGTGAAGCACTACGCTGTGTGCGTCGCAGACTGATGTCCATGTTGGGATTCCCACCAGACAAGTCCGCTTCATTTTATGTCGGCGATGCAGCAGGCCGAGCCGGTGACTTCGCGAGCACTGATCGGAAGTGGGCGATAAATGTCGGCATACCCTTCTTCACGCCGGAGGTACATCGTTATGACCGACTGCGGTGATTCATCTCTAACAGACGGCGTAGGAGTATTTCCTCGGGCTCCAAGCTGCACCATACAAACTCCCCGGCTTCCATGTTTCTTCACTACCATCGTGTTCGTGCATCACGAGTATAAAGCGACTTTCTAGTGGCTGATATTAATGTCAGTACCTTCTATCTCCCCGACGTCCAAGCCGATCCTTCCGGACCCAAATGACGGTGCCAAACCTGAAGTCGTGTTATTCGTCGGCTACCCTAGCTTGGGCAAGTCGACATTTTACAAGCGTCATTTTCAGCCGGCTGGCTACGTCCACGTGAATCAGGATACCCTGGGCTCCCGACCCAAATGTGTCAAAGCTGTCGAAGAGGCGCTAGAGAAAGGATTGAGCTGTATCGTAGGTGAATACAATAAGTGCGTAGAAAGCCTGTTCGAGACGTTGATAAGGTCATAGACAATACCAATCGGGATCGACAGACGAGGAAATACTATGTAGACGCAGCCAAGCGACTGGGTGCTACTGTTAGGTACGTTGTTTATTTCCAGCCGGAAGCGGCTAAGACAGACCTCGCCTGCTAGGTGTTTCCTGTTTCAGGGCTCTATGGAACTAGCATGGCACAATAACCTCTATCGTGCTTATAATATGCCGCCGTCTCAAGCCGAGAAGGAGGCAAGTGCACATGCGTCTGGGTAATAGACGAAGCCACAACTCACTCTTTATTATCGTGCTTGGCAGTCCCGACGTGATCTAGTCCCCTACGCAGCATGTCTGTCCTTTCGTGACAATTACGAGGAACCCAGAGAAGATGAAGGCTTTACGGAGGTCAGGATCGTTAACTGGATATTCGAGGGCGATGAAGAGGAGCTGAGGCGGTGGAGTATGTGGCTTCAGATTGACGGGAAGTAGCCCCGCAGTTATTGCATGTTACCTCTTTTGTGGCACCATCACCATCACTAAGCTTAGGCATGGTTATTCGCAAAGTGCAATACAGTGCGCCGTTAGGCACTTATTTCACGAGTGGTCATCGGCAACCAAGTACGTTCGAGCAGGCAGGAATTTGGGATCATTGGAAGCCACGATGTCCGAGGATATGAACTTCTCAAACGAGTGTTCAATTTGCAACGACATACCAGGGTATAACGTAAGGAAGGAAGCGATGTCGGGCGGGTGCATTACATGTAGATCTCTTATCTTCAGGCGGTTCGCTCATATCTCATGTTTCCTCCCTATTCTTCTTGTTTCTTCAGGCCGCTTAGGTCCTTGGTAGTCCTGAAGCCGAATAGAAGATTAGTATGAGCTCCTGTCTATGTACAAGTTAATTGGACGCACTCTACCGGCACACCAAATATGTCGATAGCATCGATACGAGTCTCGTCCTCGCCACCGTGATTCGAAGCAACGAAGATCTGCCTCGGAAATGAGGCCCGCGAAATATTGCAATTTGGAGGTTATAACACATACATGCAAGCTATTGACCGTTTGGAATCGGACGAATCGCAGTGGGATTTGCTTCCCTTCCTTTACCTGGTCTTCCGTGAGTTCTAGGGCTTGGGCAACTTCCGGCTCCCTCGCGTCCTGGACGTCCTCAAAACCGACTGATTGACGATTAACAAGGATCTTGATTTCCTTGGGTGCTTGTGGCAAGTTCGCACTCTTGATCACAATAGAGCGCACCCGGACTGTTTGATTGAACTGGATGTAGTTCGTATCAAAGTCGTAGACTTCGAACCGACGGAATATGCACCGAGATAGTCAGAAGAAGCTGCTCGTCCGCGTCACTGAGCAGATATGCATCCGAAGTATTTGCTTTTCTCGAGGAAGGTATGGACTTGATGCCGTGTTCAAATGATTCGTTTAGACATGTCGTCTGTGACACGTTAAGGTATTCCAGGAGCGATACCTACGCGGAATGGAGAACAGGTAGCATCAGGAAGGCCACCGGATCCTGTCTGGGATGCTCACGTCTCCCGATGAAACATCACCTTGAGTTCGTGAGCTTGCACCTGCCGTACGCTGCATTGGAGATCCCAGTCAGAGTGCTCGATTCACTGGTCAAGTGTGCAACAAGTGGCAAGTACGGTCGAATCGGCTAGATTAACCAGCGAATGAAAGGAACCCGGCAAAGGTATCCCCAGGGACCCGGGCGGAATCCTGCTGCAGCTTCAACGGGTCAGTCCTACTCCCAGCTGGTCTCCGTTGCCCCGGAGACCCCGCGCCTTCGACGCCCTGATTGATTCCTTTCAACCGTCCGAAACTGGGCTCTTGGTCTGATCCTTACCGAACTTCAGTCGTCTCTCGAATTATACTATAGGTCTTGTATCCCGTCGCCCTCCATATATTGGCAACTGCGCATATCCGAAGTCAAGCGAGGCTCATTGGGCTACCTTTCCGACTGACGCGTTCCTCGGGCAAGCGGATGATGGCGCGCAAGACATCGAAAGCCGTGTATTCGCGGGCCTCCCCAGCTCAGTCATCGACCTCTTTTTCCGACAATGATGAGGACGACATCAATCAGTCCACCTTCTTCGCCACAACTGATGCAGTCGCGATCGGTCCTGCTCAATGGTCATCGAGGTCAAGCTTTCTTCCAATCGAGAACCGTCCGAAGGCGGCTGCGTTATCCATAGCAAGTCAACTACCACCAGAACTCCTCATTCAGGTCCTCCGCCACCTTCACTCTCCTCGAGACCTGTATCACGCTATGCTCGTCTCTCGCGGGTGGGCAGAATGTTCGGTGGAGCTTCTATGGCATAAACCGTCCTTCACAACCCTCTCTACCCTTGTCAAGTTGATTCGCGTTATAACCTCTTCCAATCAGTCATTCACCTACGTACGCTTCATACGTCGGCTGAACTTCCTATCCCTTGGTGCGGAACTCACAGATGCTATATTCTCCCGCTTCGCCCAATGCTCTCGCCTCGAGCGCCTCACGCTCGTTAATTGTACCAGTGTATCGGACACTGCCCTCTCTAGGGTGTTACCTTCGTGTCCCAATCTCGTCGCGGTAGATCTCACTGGTGTCGCAGACGCGAGCGATCGTACCGTGGTGGCGTTGGCGTCCGCTTGTTCGCGTTTGCAAGGTATCAACCTCGGGGGATGCAAGCAAGTGACGAACAAAGGGATATTGGCGCTGGCCAGACATTGCAAACTACTCCGTCGGGTCAAGCTCAGTGGACTCGAGACTCTAACTGATGACGCAGTGTCGATGCTGGCGAAGCATTGCCCACTACTATTGGAGATCGACCTCAACGGTTGCAAGCTTATCTCGGATGTAGGCGTTAGGGATATCTGGATGTATTCGTTGCAAATGCGCGAGATGAGGTTGTCCCAGTGTGTCGAGCTCACCGATGCAGCGTTCCCCGCCCCACCTGTCACCATCGCCCAAGATGGACCCACCGTTACCCCTTTCCCGCGTCCCTCTCCCGCCGAAATACTGCCACCTTTACATTTACCGCATTCATTCGACCACCTCCGAATGCTTGATCTTACGGCATGCGCTCGTATTACTGACACCGCGCTCGCAGGAATTATTGCCGTTGCGCCTAAGATTCGGAATCTTGTGCTGGCCAAATCGACACAGATCACTGATGTTGGGGTCGAAAGTATATGCAAGCTGGGAAAGCAACTGCACTACTTGCACCTTGGCCACGCTTCTAATATCACAGATAAGGGGGTCAAGATGCTAGCAAGAAGTTGCACGCGGCTCAGATACATCGATCTTGCCAGTACGTCGTTCTGTCCTGTGTGTCTGTGCTGTTCTAACCTAACATAGATTGTACTCACCTGACGGATCTGTCGGTGTTCGAATTGTCGACATTGCAGAAACTCAGGCGGATCGGTCTCGTCCGAGTCCATAACCTCACCGACGAAGCGATCTACGCGTTGGCTGACCGGCATGCCACTCTGGAGCGAATCCATCTGAGTTACTGTGAACAGATCAGCGTTATAGCCATACATTTCCTTCTGCAGCGGCTAAGGAAGCTGACACATTTGAGTCTCACTGGTATTCCCAGTTTCAGGCGTAGCGAGTTGCAGAGGTTTTGCCGAGTACCGCCCCAAGTACGTTCAGGCCCTCGAGTGGCACCTTTCCACCTGCTAATCGAATACTTAGGAATTCAACCAGACGCAGCGCGATCAGTTCTGCGTTTATTCTGGGAAGGGAATCTCGCAATTACGGGATTATTTGACTGCCCTCTTCAACACAATCACAGACGGCGAAACTAGCTATAGTGGTGAAGGCGAGGACGATGAGGATGTCAGAACTATCGGGTACAGCGGCGTCGACGCAGACGATGCCGAAGAAGAAGACGAAGAGGATGACGACGAGTTCTATGGGAGAAGGAGTGTTCAACGACTTTCCGTTCCAATTGACGCCGGAGACTATCGTTATCGACCACCGCATCAAAACGGCATCGCTCAACCGTACCAGGATTCAGCGACTCTACCATCCAGCTCCTTCCAAACTCTTGCCCCTAATCTAGGCCGCCGCCCTCCGACTGCTTTTGGACAACAACCAATCATCGAATCCTCAGCGCCGACATCGCCGGCGCGCAGTGAAGGCAGCTCCGTAGGGAACGGAGCGGCCTTCTTCAGAACGTATGACCGCTTGGACCCCAGCGCCAGCTCCGATCCCGCATCCGCTGGTTCTTCTACGGACCCCCACATTAGACGGGGTGACGGTGTTCTTACCCCCGATCTCGTTTTCGCAGAAATTGGCCACGGACGAGGAACGGATTTCGAACCGAGCACTAGTCGGGCTGCTTTGCATGGCTCCGGTCCTAGATACGCATCATCTGCGGCGTGGGCTGCCGAGATGAATGCGGGCCCTCACCTAACCCCGATGCAGGATGCACGGAGCTCCTCTTCCTCTTCCCAAGTAACCAGAGATTACAGCGGTTCCACACAAAATCATGATCGCCAATCTGATTTCCATGCTGCGACAGAATCTGGTCGAGGTTACGCGGTTCCGCCTGTGGATTCGAGACGTATCCGGACCTCGGCCTCCAGATCGAACTCTATCCAGCCCGCTGGACAGCTCCGTTCACTCATCGTCGTGGAAGATGCGTTGGAATTCCAGCAAAGTGGTAGAGACAGAGTCGGTAATGGTAGCAGTGACTCCTTTACTATCGGACTCCATAACTCTAACATGACGTCGGAGAGCAGAGGCCGCAGCATGAAGAGGACCTTCCGCAATACTCTCAATGCCGCAGAACATTATGCTAGCTCTTTCCTTTTCGGCCACGGCCACAACTCAGGATCCAGCAGCCGAGACATAGTCTCGCCGCGCACTTCTTCCTCTACCCGACCATAGACGAAGGTTGTGACGTTGCACGTACCCGTCGGAGCTATAGGGTTGGAGAGTACTATGATGTACTTGTCGCGTATAATGTCCGACTATCTGTTGAGATACTGTTTTTTTTTTGTCTCATTATGGAGTGTGGCATAACTGGATGTCGTTGGACCTTACCGTACTCAACTGACAGGGTCCCAGAATAATTTCGCCGACATGAGCACGTCCAATGCAATGGGATACCCGATAGACGATGGGTCATGGTCACCACGATGGACATCCACAATCGCCCGACTACGAGCCAAGTGCCGCAGTGGATATCAATATGGAAAGAAATAAGACAGGAAATATACGACTTTTATTCACCGCATGTCATAAAACCATTTACCTGCCGACATGAGACTCACTACTATCCTGTGAAGATATCAAGAAATTGCACGTCGTTAAGCTTGCAAGGTCGCAATGTAGGAGCGCACCGCAGGCTCAAAGGGTGGATGAGAAGGAATGCACCCGCCACGTAATACTTCACCTCCCGTTCATCATTCTGAGACGGTCAGGATGTATACCGCCCGGGCCAGGAGGTCCACTCGAAGCGGAAGGTGGGCCCTGTGACTGACCTGGTCCATTAAATGGGGCGTTACCGAAGTTCCCACCCGGAGGTCCTTGGCCAGGAGGGGGCGATTGAAAATTGGGAGGGAAGGGAGGAGGACCGCCTGAAAGACCTTGAGCATTCGGTGCGAACGGAGGTGGTCCTGATCCATGCAACTTGAGAAACTACCTAGCGCCGTGTAATTTGGATTTACTTACCTGCGCCGGGAGGGCCGGCCATTCCTGGGGGAGGCATACTTGGAGGGAATGGAGGTGCACCAGGTGCACCCATAGGCGGGAAACCAGGCCCGGGAGGGAAGGGAGGCCGGGCTAGAGAAGTGTTAGTGACGATACAATAAATACAATAGCGACCAGACGTACGTCCACCGAAACCGGGGGGAGGCCCCCCGAAACCTGGAGGGGGGCCGCCGAAGCCAGGGGGGCCAGCGAACGGCGCAGGTGGCCCCAAGTGCTGCGGCCCAAACCCAAACCCACCAGGCGGAGGTCCACCGCTCGATTCATAGGCGGCTGTGATCTGGTCAATTATACTCTGCGCCTTGTCGTGACCGAGGGCTATGCTGCAGGTTAGCGCGCGACTGCTGGCTCAATACAGTTCACGTACAGGCATAGTAGTCCCGAACATTTGCAAGGTGATTACGCCCGCTATTATGGGCTTTACGCACTAAGAAAGAGAGCGGGTGAACTTCAGCTGGTCCATCTAGACAAGATGTACTTACCCGAAGCCGAGTCGTGAGTCAAGAAGACATCACAGTAATCGCAGTAGTGTTTCTGGATGGGATTCAGTGATTATAATAGAACTGAGAAAGAAAGCCGCGTCAAACGTACAGGCATGGTACAGTGTAGACTTGGTGTAGACGACCACAACGAACCGAATGAAAGGACAAGGAAAGATCGTGTAATCCAAGTTCGATTATGTAAGTCGGAGTTTCAATATCGTGGTGGCGATCCAGCAGTCCAGCCTTAGCCACCACCGTCTAGTCTGTGTTCTAGAGGTATGCTGTATTTTTATGTTCTCGGCCAGGCTCACGGAAGTGATATTGACCGTTATATGCATAGATATGTTTCTCGTTGGTTCCTGTCCGAGTGCTCCATAGTCTTCTGTCATGGCTTGCCGTTTCATTTCCCAATTCTCGGTATATATACCATGCGTCCGATGTGAACCGCAACTGGTACTGCCTTCAAGCATACCTTCTACATGCCTGCAACTCCAGCCGATTATCCACCTGCAGATACCACTAGATCTGCCACTCCTGTCGATCCATGCGTGCCTCCATCGGTATGCCGGAAAGAACTGACCATACATTTGGCTGCCACCCAGCTTGAATCCAGTGAAGACCCCAAAAATATGTCTTTGACGCACAAGTGGGTTCTCGTACTCATTATCAGTACCTCTGCTTTGTGCGTGACCTGCAACTCGGGAGTTGTAAGCATGGTCTGCAGTCTACTGCGAGAGTGTGCTCACGACGTACTTAGGCTCCTTTCACGGAGGAAGGAATACAGCACCAATTCCACATCTCTCCCGAGGTATCCATCTTGAGCATCAGTTTATTCTCTGAAGGCCTTGGTGTTGGTCCTCTTCTGCTCGGCCCACTGTCCGAATTCTATGGTCGTAATATAGTGTACTGGATATCCTATACCTGCTTTTGGCTTACGACGTTCCCTGTCGCTTTCGCGCCCAACGCTGGTGAGCTTAATCTATCTCAGTCTAACATAATTGAACTTGCCTACATTGCACTAGCTGTTCATCTACTCTTTCGATTTTGGAGTGGTTTTGCAGGATCCGCTCTTTTGACTGTTGCCGGTGGATCCCTCAGCGACCTCTTTGGCGACTCTTCGCTTGCTACGTAGGTTGTCTCTTCACTATTTACCGCCGTCTTATCAATTATTCATAGACCAATGGCTGTCTATACTCTTTGTCCCTTCATCGGTCCTGTACTCGGTCCCGCGATCAGTGGGTGAGTGTAAATGCACTCCGTGCAATTTCCCAGTCTCAGAAAATATCCCACTTTGTTTCTAGGGCGATAAACCAGGTAGGTGCCATGCTCTCTCCGCCCCTGTGCGCAGGATGTAAGATCTGATGGTGACGAAAAGCACCTCAACTGGCACTGGACATACTATGTTCAACTCCTATGGGAATTGATCCAGCTTCTATGCCTTGTCCTTGTACGTGCTCACGCAAATCTACCCGATTTCAATTGAACGGGGAATACATATCCAGTTCGTGCCCGAAACGCATGTGCCTACGCTTATGAAGAGAAAGGCCGCACGGTAAGTGCATATCTCCGCAGCGCAGAATGCGTTTCACGTTGAGACTTCTCCAAGATTGCAAAGACAGGAAGAGAGCGAAGGTTATACTGGGAAATTGCAGGGGATCCAGACGGAGCACTCCGTGATTCAAGCTGTGCTCCAAAGCTGCATCAAACCTTTCGGTAGATTTCACCTCACTCCAACGTGCGATATCATACTAAGACTGCACCAGAACTGTTACTACATGAACGAATGGTTTTACTCTTGGACCTATGGTACGAGACTCCGCGATGTCGTGTCCGTGGCCACGAACTCATTAGATCACAGGAATGCCCTCGTCCTCGGGATCCTGTATCTTACATTCCAAGTCTTTCCCATCATTTTCGAAAACGGGCACGGATACGATATGCAAAGCACTAGTTTTACCTTTTTGGCCTTGGGACTGGGCATGTTGATCAGTCTCTGCACTCAACCCTGGTGGAACCGGTAAAGTTCATGTCCTTCGGCAAAGAGTGTCCGGGAAACTCACTTATCGTTTGCTCCCGCCATGCACAGACTCGAGGCCCGTAGGTCCGCTCGGCATGCCGGTGCCGTCGCACCAGAGAGTCTTCTCACCATGGGTCAGGTCGGGGGGATCTTGGTGCCTTGCGGTATGTGATCTGTCTGTGACTTGGACTACGTCCTAAACTCGTCTCGTCAAGCGCTACTGGTCATGGCCCTTACTGCTTCCCCGAATATTACGCCAGTCCTGCCGATTCTAGCTTCGATCCCTTTCGGCACTGGCATCGTCTACATGTTTACTTCCACTTTCACTTATCTCGTTGCTTCATATCGTCACTGCGCAGCGTCCGCGTTGGCGAGCAATGCGGCGCTCAGACTCACATTTGCGGCTATCTTTCCACTGTTTGCGAAGCAGCTGTGTAGCGTGCTCGGGACGGAAGGAGCCTTGGGGCTCCTTGCAGGATTGACAGCCCTCGCATGTCCATTACCGTGCGTGAATTTCCTTTCTCGGCTTTGTGGACGATCGCTCAGTTCGCGTTTCACAAGATTCATATTTGCGAAAATGGGGGAACGACTCCGAGCTAAGTCAAAATTTGCTGTCTCATAGAGATTCCCTTGCGACTCCCAGGACATGGCAGTTCTAAATGCGTGATAGAAGAATATCCATAGAATCCACTCATGATCCGGACTTACACTAGTATGAGCTATAGATGTATTGTATCGTGATATCCCCAGCTCAAGTACTTCCAGCGTCTATGATCCTCATATATTGATTTATTCCCTGTAACGTGTGCATCTGCGCGATCCAGCATACTCACTTTCAAGTGGTAACTCGTTGTGACTGAGGTCTCCGCGGCATCGTGGCAATGCTTGCCGTGGTACTTGATTGGCTTAACACTCAAAGGTGTCTTCGTGTCGAGCAAGGTATCCAACGCAGTTGAGCGCTGTACTATCGTAAGAGACGCTGTAGAAGTCTGGGAGCAGGGCATTCGAATATTCAAGGTGTGAGACTCGACGCCGTGGGCGCACGATTGCCCAATTTGCTAGTTGTTTGAGAGAAGCTGGGCATGAGATGCACCAAGGAGTAGACTTGTAAACAGCGTCTTCTCGATATACAGTTGATATGCATGCGATCCTGTCTATAAGGCATGAAAGACTAGAATTTGCGAGTCTGAACTCAGGATTGATAGGTTCTCCGGTTTCAGGAGTGAATCCTCGAACTGGGTCGACGACAATGTGACTGCGAGAGACAAACAACATCAGCCCGCTGGAAAGAATTTGCGAACAATGTATGGCTTCATTAGTCAAAGGAGATATCGAGGCTCGTATCAATGTGTCTCACATGAACGAGCATGAGGGCGATACTTCATCAATATGAGATTCGTCTACAAAATTTAATAATCATGAACATTAGTTCTTCCCTGCCTTGCGTGCCTTCCCCTTTTTGCCCGGTGTGACAGGAGACTGCGGAGCGGCGCTTGTCGAAACTGCCTGCGCCTCCGCTTTCGACTCGCCCTCCTTTGACTTCTCCTCAACCGCCCTTCTCTGCGCCTGCGATGGCGTCCTTCTCTCCCCTTGCCCTTGTCCCTGCCCGCGATGAAACAGCTGCAAAATCAAACTCCCACTGATGCCCGTTCCGAGCATCATCAGCCAGCGGGGGACGCGCACCAGGTACGCGTACACGACCGTCAGTACCCGCGCGATCCAGTCGAGCACCCACGCGCGCGGCCCGCCCGGGGCGAAGGGCGAGGACCAGGGAGGCGTGGACAGGTACGCATGCGTGAGGAGGTACGTGCGCAGCGTGGGCGCGTGCGGGCGGAGGGTGCGCGGGCTGTAGAAGCGGAGGGTGTACCCGCGGTCGGAGAGGATGACGAAGAGAGGGGCGCTAACATGAGAGAGGGGGTTAGTGCGAAGGGTTAATGAGGGGAGAGGGGACGCACGTCCAGACGTTCCAACGGGTTGTGATGCCGGTGACGTTCAGGTAGTCGATGCGGCCCCACCGAACGTGTGGGAGGTCGCCAGCAATGAGCGTTTCGTTGAAGGCGGTGTCGAAGGCTTCGTCAGCGTATTTGGAGAGCCCCTCGGACTGACCGGAGGTGACCGAGCTGGAAATCCAGACCGGGTAAATATGAGGGCTGATAGTAACACTGAAGTGCAGAGCCTACATACATGACAATAAACCAGACCCTCTCCGCCGCTTCCTCCTCGCTCATTTCCTCTTGAACCACCAGCTCCTCGTAATTGTTGTCCGTAATCAGCGGGATGCGGGGGTCCCACAGGGGACCCGATGCTGCTGTGAGTTTGTCGGTGACGTTGATTCCTGCCTTCTCGAGCAAACCTGTTAGGGAACCGAGGATGCCTTGACCTGGTCCTTGAGCTTGTTCCCGAGGCTTTTGCGAGACATACCCCGAGCTCTGCAAGACAGGCTCGGGCTCGGCAGAGGGGACAGGCTGGCCGGGCGCCCATCCTTCAGAAAAATACTGCCCGTTGACGCACGCGGCGAGGAAGAGCGCGAGCCAGGCGAGCACGAACATGGTGGTCGGCGTCCAAGTGCGACGTCCACGACATCGCGTGCGGACTTATGAACGACTCGCAAGCGTGCCTGAGTGTATCTGTGGCGGTGCTGCTGATTGTGTAAGCCACGTGGTGTGACAATTGCTTCCGGCGAGAACTCTTGCTGGCGGCACAGCCACCACTTACTGCGGTATCTGCTGCCGACGCGTCACGGTGCGCTTGCAAGGCCGCTGCTCGGTCGGTTCATTCGAGGATATTTTACAAAAGCAGGATGTTGGCGCGGTGTAGAGGTTTCTGGAGGGCTGCAGCTTTATTCTTCGCCTGCATATGTGTAGCGGCAGCCCCAACAGACGGTGTGTCCTTAACCCCTTTCGTTGATTTATCCTGGAATTAACATGCATTATTGCCAGTACCATCCGCCGCCTCTTTCTATGTACACACCCTCCCAGGACTCCGCCAAGACCCCACACACCCTCTGCACATATACGCCGGCCACCTCCCCTCCGACCCCGAAGCAGCCACCGCTCCCCCCACAGCCGTTACCGCCCACCTGTACTTCGTCCTCACTAAGGCCCGACGCACCGCTGACAAGGAGCGTGTTATATTTTGGTTTAATGTGCGTTGGCCTCTCTTCCATTTTGACGGAACGGGGTAACATGGCAAACAGGGCGGGCCAGGGTGCTCCTCGTTTGACGGGCTGATGATGGAGATCGGCCCATGGCGGATGGACAAGGACGGCAACCTAAACGTTATGGATGGCGGCTGGGAGGAATACGCGCACGTCGTATACGGTGCGTCTGACTCTCCCTCACTGCACTCTGCCCAGTCTCTCATTCGACGGTGCAGTCGACCAGCCCGCGGGCACGGGGTACTCGTACACAAGCACCGACCACTACGTCCACGAGCTCTCCGATGCAAGCGCCCAGGTCGTCCAGTTTATGCGCCAGTTCTACCGCGTTTTCCCCGAGTACCGGGAGATGGACGTGCGTGCACCGCTTCTCTACTCTTCCTCTTATTCCTCATGCACTGCTCTTCAGACATACCTAGCGGGCGAGAGCTACGCGGGGCAATTCATTCCCTACATTGGTAAGACTACGCGCCATACAAGGTATTTCTCGCTAATCGATTGGTTGGGTATAGCTGACGCGATCCTGAACTCCAACCTCAACATCCCCTTCAAAGGCGCAGCCATTGGTAACGGGTGGATTGATGCGCGGCGGCAGTATCCTGCATACCTTGACTATGCCGTCAAGCACGGCCTTGTCGAGCCCAACTCCGACGTGTGTTCTTTTCCTTTCATCGTTGACCCACGTCACGTAACGTGTATATCATTTATCACTTGTTATAGGACTATAAACGGGCAAAGGAAGTCACAGATGCGTGCATGACCGAGCTGGACAAGATCACCGACCGCGAGCCGATCAACGTCGATATGTGCGAGCGCGTCATGCTCACCGTCCTCGAAGGAAGGCAAAAAGAGTGGGACTTCCATCTCTTTCATTCTAATGAAGTTGACGTTGACGCGCACATAGTGGCAAGTGCGTGAATGTGTATGACGTGCGCCTGACAGACGACGTGCCCGCCTGCGGGCTCAACTGGCCGCCAGATCTGGAGTACGTGACTCCTTACCTCGGCGTACGTCCTCTCTCATTGCATCTGCCCTCATCTCGTCTTTTCCTATCCGAACTCTTTAGCGCCAAGACGTCGTGCAAGCCCTGCACGCCACCGCGCACGCGCAATCCTGGGTCGAGTGCCGCGGGCGCGTCGGGCAGGAGCTGTCCAATCGCAACTCGCAATCGTCCATCACGCTCCTCCCAAAAGTGACCGAGCGGGTGGAGGTGCTGCTCTTCGCGGGCGACCAGGACTTTATATGTAATTATGTGGGCATCGAGGGGCTGATACAGCAGCTGGAGTGGGGCGGGGAGCGCGGGCTTGGGGTGAGTTTTTCCGTGCTGCCGTGACGGTTGGAGCTGACAAGCGGTTCGGTGTGACGTGTTGTTGTGAGTAGAAGGTCCAGACGCAGAGCTGGAGCGTGAACGGACAGCCGGCGGGGACGTGGGTGTCGTCCAGGAACCTGACCTACGCCAAGGTACGCCTGCCTCCCCTTGCGCTTCTACCCTTCACGCCCTCTAACATGCTACTCGACAGATCTTCAACGCGTCGCACATGGTGGGCTTTGACGTGCCGCACGTCGCGCATGACATGATGCTGCGCTTCATGCGCGTCAACTTCTCCGCGCTCGCGGATGGGACCGCGCGCATACCGAGCGCCGTCGGGCAGGAGCACAAGCCTGCGCTGTCAGTCGTCGACGAGGAGACGGAGCCGAGCGCGCTACCCGGCGGCAAGACGCCCGAGCAGGACAAGGCGATGTGGGAGGGTGAGTACCATCTCCCTTGGGTTGGGCTGGAGCGGAGGCTGATTAGTATTGTGTCTCGTCGAAGCATACTACAATGCCGGCTCCGCGGCGGTCGTGCTGGTCCTCATACTTCTTGCGCTCGGCGCGTTCTTCTGGTGCCGCGTCCGGCGCCGGAGGGGCCTCCGGTTGCCCAACATCGGGCTCGGGGGCACGGCGGAGGAGAGCATCCCTCTGAACCAGACGCAGGAAGACGACGATTTCAGGCGCAGGAAGGGGAAAGAAAGGGAGGTCGATGGGGATACTGAGGAGCGGACGGTGTTTGAGGTAGGGGAGGATGAGGACGACGAGGAGAAGAGTCCTATTCCTAGGCGTTAGTACGCTCAAGTTGTAGAGCGCTGTATTTATGGTTTAGCTTCGGCCAACTGAGCATAGTTTGTAGTGCAGGGGGTGCTCATGTGCGCTGCAACCTGATCGACCTGCGGGAATGCGTGGCTCTTCCGATTCGTAGATTCTCACATCCAGTACACTTGAAAGCGGAGGGTAAGTCACCAAACGCGAAACGATGGTGGTCCCGGCCTTGGATGACATGAGAGCTTACTGTACACAAAATATTAATATCGAGCAGAGGTTGCAATTGGAGCAGCGTGACCTGGCTCACCTGTAGCCAGTAGATTAGATTATGGCGGGACTTACTTGCTCTGCTGTCTGTGGGATGTTCATAGCTATCTGCTGCATTGGAAGAGACGTAAATGTGTCCTTATGACTTTTTATTGCCTTCCTTCCCTTTATTATGATCAGATATGTCCGCACAAAGAGCAGTCAGTACTAGATTGGGAGTCAAAGCACATGATCAGCCCAAATCTGGGACGAAATGGGCTTATATATGCCTTTTCTGATTACGACATATCAGAGGAGCACAGAGTGCTGCAGATCAGGGCACTCCGCCTGTACCACAGCAGCCCATTGTCGGATGCCAAGATAAAGGGAGCATGGGACAATATCCGTGGCTGCTCGATACGGCCGCTGACGGGAAGTCTATATTGCCTCGACAGTGCTGTTGACGAGGTCAGAAGTCAGGACTCGGAGTGCTCGCAGTTTGGCTAAGGCATTCATGCTGCTTGAGGATAGTGGCATGCCCATTCGCGATACCTTCGAAGCTGTGCGTCACGGTGACTGCAGGTCACATGTAAAATAATAGAAGCCTCAGCAGTCAACTGTGGTGTCTAGTAAGACCTGACCTAGAAATCTAGACAGGACACTGGCAGATGGTGGATGGATACATAAACAAAACCACATCGCGTCTGACCGATGTAAACAATTGACCGCCATAGGAGACGTAGCAAAACTTTTGCAAAACTTTGAAGTTCGAGCCGCTCGGCTCTCTTCGACCATCTCCGGCATCACTTCTTGAGCTATTCCTGGCGCGAACTATTGCTCGAAGGATTGCTCGAGGGAACGGCCGAATTCAACTTGCGGCGAATTGTAGAATTGAGCACGCCTCTTCTCAGTGCTGAAAACGCCACCTGAGCACAGTTCGAAATCCTCGGGGCGCAGTTCCAACGCGGCCGACGCGGCCACAATTGCAACTCGAACGATGCGCAAACATTGATCGCCTCTCTACTTACTGGATATTGAGGAGGCTTGTATCTAGCCTAATAACCAGCCCGGTAGGGGAATCGCTCATCTCAAGTCACCTTACAAACGCCAGATGGGTTGTCGCCTTCCTTCTCTATATTGATGGTGACCTGCGAGTTTTCCTAGCATGTCCATTTGCGATGGTACTTCAAGTTACGACGTTGCAGGCCGCCGTCGCGCTGGCGCTGATCAGGGGTATGCCCTACCTTGAGGGAGTAACAGCCATGGATGCGTACACCTCTACTGCCAGTGATGCATCGATGAGCGCCTGCTCGGCAAACCGCTGAATCCCCGGTGGAGGGTGAGGCTCTGATCATGGATAGCACGGTTCGCGTGCGCTCAAGTACTGCCTCTAAACTTAGCGGGCATGGATTATATATAAGGCTCGTTTTGTCCGTGACATACATAATTCCGTCTTTGAACTCGGAGCAAGCGCCGGCCATCTATCGTCTTCCAACACGACTTCGTATCGTCCATGTCATACGAAGGTTTGTCATTCGTCATTATTGGCGGCAGCATTGCGGGTCTATCCTGCGCATATACTCTGCAAAATGCTGGACATAGAGTTACAGTACTCGAGAAGAGCGCCACCCCCTACGACGTGAGTGCACTTAATGACTGGCATGACACTCATAGCAGCTCTCATAATATAGGACCGGTTGGGATCCATACAATGTCCTCCAAATATGACTAGGATCCTGAAAACGTGGGGCTTGACTGAGTGGATAGATAAGTTTTCTGTTAAGATGAATGCGATAGTAATGAGAGAAGGTGCGGGAATTATCTATAGTTTGCCATCGGGAATCCCGCTTAACATGCCAAACTTAGGGAGCACAGGGGAGAAGATGGGTCTCGTCATCTTTCACCCAGAAATTATGCGACAGTTGAGAGCTGATTATGTTACCCTACCGGTGAGTGTATAGTCTCTGACCATGGATTCTCAAACACACGTATAGCCAGTATCGCTCGCTCTGGTCCGTTTTGCATGACATGGCCATACGAGCCGGCGCCGACATACGATTGGGTGAAACTGCTGTTCAAGTGGATCCTGACCCTCCTTCCGTCCTCCTTTCCTCCGGCGAAGAGCTACGAGCAGATTATATCATCGGGGCTGACGGCTATGAGAGCATGATCAAAGAGGTCGTCCTTGACCATCAGCTCAGAGGTGCTATGGATAGAAGGTGTACCTTTGGGTCAGTCTTTGAGACTGACCGGAAGCAGATTTATCCTCATTTTGAAGAAGTCTCACAGTTCCTACGGAGTCAATGAGACAAGATGAGGATCTCGTTTCACTAACGGAAACTGCGGAAGTATGGATATCTTCTTTCCCGTTAGTATTGGATTGATCAAGTGTGGCAGTGGGACATATGGCTGGGAGACGGCTCGTGTGTACATGGTTTTCTCTCCGTAAGTAGGCCTTCGTCTACGAGCATCTGATGACATAAAGAGGTGTCAATCCCAGAGGGGGAAACGTGAATATACACTAGAGCTGATCCTCAGTGGTTCGGACTGGGAATTCCGCCAAGACCGGAATGGGCAAGTCTGTCCTCAGGATATTGACATGCACCTGAGCCACTTCGAGCCTCGGTGAGTCTGTAAACAACTGTAAGGCTTGTCTTATATAATGCCTATTAGTATCGGGAAGATAGTGCGACTGGCTGACAAGCTCATACCGACGACGTACTATCTGTACCAGGAAGACTGTCCTAATTTGGTACATGAGTCCGGGAACGTCTTATTAGTTGGAGAAGCCGCACATCCTCTTCCGGTACGTTTACTATCACATGTGACCAAGTTGTCCTGTATCATCTCATTTGTCGCCAGCCCGGTGCAGGAGGCAATGCTGCAGCTTGCCTGGAAGATGCTGTCACACTCGGAGAGCTCCTCTCACACTGTAAATCGAAGGATAGAGCTCCTATCTTCATCGCTGCCTTCGAAGATATACGCCTATCGCGCTCCTCGTACATCAGAAAGTCGGAGCACTTCCGGTGGGGGCTTATAACCGTGCCTTCGGGATCAAAAGAGCAAAAGATGCGCGACGAGAATTTCCGTTCGGCGCTCCCCCGCGCTTCTAGGGGCTGGGAAGACGCCGACGAGGAGTTACTCCGAGACATTTGGGACGACTATATCACTCTGTTCGATTATGAAGCACAGGAAGCAGTTGAAGAGTGGTGGACGAGATGGGGCTCACTAATATGAAGTCTATATCCTAGAGAAAGACAGGTTCGAATTGATATGCCGACGACGACATCCCTGTATTGTGCAGGAGTCGATTCAGTCCCTACAGGGTGCATCTATCATAGCGTGCAGGCGACATACAGCGAAATTAGGCGCATGGTGTAATGCCCTCTCGCGACGGCTGGCTCCGGCGGAGATATTCATGTACGAGGACTCCGATGACTGGGTGAGACATCGAACCGGTGCTTTGGTGGCTGTAACGCCAGTCTCTTCTAATTTAATATTAGCTCACCATTAGCCCGTAGACTCTCGGTAGGAGTCAGAGTCTAACTCGCTAACGCCTGCTGGTGGGATTGCAGGCAAGGTACAGCAGGCTCATCTCACAGTACGCCGACACGCTTCTTCCAACCGTAGATGGTTTATATCTCTTCTATATATACAGCACTGATCTGCGAGCCTTAAGGTATATACAAAAATCTACTCCTGAGACATCTTCTGAGCAAAGCAAACACAGATGTCGACTGTGGTACCTTCCATAGTGTCCCATTCCTCAGCCATATTGGTCATCCATTGGTCATATTCGTCCTCCGTTGTGACATATCCAAAACCGCCTGCATTGAGGATCGGCGTCTTCATCCCGCGGAATACCCCAATGAAATTGTCTCTTGTCTCGATCCCTACTGTGCCTGCCCAACTCCCCGCCGGGATCCTGTACTCTTCGACATGCACGTTTCCGAATCCGGCTTCCTTGAGGAAATGGGGCAGTTGAACTGAGCAGTCTATGACCAATCGCTTTGCGGCAAAGAGTTCGTTAAGCAGTTTTCTGTGCTTTGCGCTCCATTGCCCATCCTCCGCCCCCCAGCGCTTCGCCTCAAGAAGTTGCACCCATCCTCCAGAGACCAGAGTACGCCGAACCTCTTTCAGCACGCGCGGCCACTCGGACGAAGTTAGTGCGGCTATAAGGAGCCTTTGGTTGACCAGCTTAAACTGGTTGTCCCATTCAGCTGGAAGTTGCGTTGTCGTCCCCACGGAGAACGTTACGTTTGGCGGCTTGACCACTGGGAAGAGCCTTGACTCGATGTCAATACCCCGGAAAACAATGTCCGGGGATTCCTGACTGGCCAAGTCCAACAACCAAATCCCTAGAATCAATCATGTCAGTATCAGACAGCAATCTCGCGAGTACTGAACTCGGTCACCTGATCCGGTACCGCAGTCAAGGACGTGGTCGCCCGGTTGAAGGGTAAGAGGAGGTATCACCAGCCTGCCGCCAATCGCTCTTTGCAGGACCCTATGTTGCAGCTCCAGCCTGAGCACAAACAATAGCTCACATCACTGAATAACAAGCAAGAACCAAGGCACTTACCGTGCCTGCTCCTCTTCATCGCAGGGGAGAATATATTGGGCACCCGGGAAGGCCTGGTAAGTCCTTGCTCGATGTTGAATCGGGGGCGGTCCACCATTCGATACTGCTTCCGAGTCATTCGCAGCGAGTCCACCTCGTTCGCTGTGTCCCAGGGCTGTTTGTACCATCGTTGGATGCCTGACCTCTGGAAATGGCTTGTATGGCTGTATATAAGGCTCTGTGGTCGGTGTCATATCCTTTTCGAATGGCTGCGCACCTGCATTGCCCGTCTTCGATGATTATCATCCAGGGTCCTGTGTCTTTGGCGTGTCCATGATGATCACTCGAGCCTCTGTTCTGCATTATCGGGCTGCAGCTCGGGCAGCGGACGTCCGACCGCAACCTGGAGTCTAACAACTGGTTTCAGCCGGTTGCGTGTTTGGGTGAACATTCTCGATGACCTATTTGCAATGGTCATCTCCACACGGCCCTATGTGAGCGACACTCCATTGATTGCAACCTCTTTCGACCATGGAATGTCTAGCTGGCTGACTTAATGTTTTTACATATCTGTAGCCCTGTCAACAACTATGTTCAACAGGGTTCAGAATTCTCCCGACGTATATCGTTGGGGTGCACGTCCCTGAATGCAGCTTCGATCCCACCCCAAGGGCGATTGTTCGGACTAGGGTGCGGTGAATAAGTCGTCAGGACTTTGTAACATATGTTAATAACATGGCGCGCTCCGAAGCCCTTTTTAACAGGGTTATTAACAGTTAATAACATTTAGTTTGAAACGGGTTAATTACATGTTAAAAAGACATATCAACATTGTTAAAAACACTTTTGCAGTTTAAAATGCCTGGTAGGCCTCCACTGCACTCTCCGGGAGCTGTTTGACGTGCACTTTGCAAGCTGAAGTACATTAGGGGGTCTTTGCAACATGATGTCCCAGTGATATTTGACTTACGGGTACGGTCCTCTACCGGTGCATGGTGGATTCCAGGCTGCCGATAGGGGGGGTTTTTAACACCCAAATTGGCCTTGCCTAGAGGGGTCTGTTAATAACATGTTATTAACCTGTTATTAACAGCAGTTTATAACAGTGTAAATAATGAGCGACTTTTACACCGCACCTTAGTTCGGACCTATTTTCTCACACTAAGCTTTGGACTTGACACAGCGGCACTCAACTGCA